AGGGTTGGGATGGAAGGAGAGGGCTGGGATGGAGGGAGAGGGTTGGGACAGAGAACAAGGGCTGGGATGGAGGGAGAGGGCTGGGATGGAGGATGAGGGCTGGGATGGAGAACAAGGGCTGGGATGGAGAACAAGGATTGGGATGGAGAATGAGGATTGGGATGGAGGATGAGGGCTGGGATGGAGGATGAGGCCTGGGATGAAGGTCACGGGGGTCCCAGGGGCTGTTTTTGCCCCGGTGCCTCTGCACAAACCCCTGGGACTGCCACGGGAAGGACAAAGGGACCCAACCCCTCCCTGCTGGGTTTTCAGCCCCATCTGGCCGGTCCGGGACACGGAGCACGTGGCACACGTGGCACACGATGCCAGGGGGTGGCACACGATGCCAGGAGGTGCCTCCTCCCTCGGCCCCGTGCCCGTGCCGCTCCCAGGGCTCCGGACCCGGCCGGGGTTGGAGCGGCAGCTCCCCCGCTCCCGTCCCGGGTGTTTTCCCAGCGCTGCCCGGGGCGGCTGGAGCGCTGTTCCTCAGCCCTGCTCCTGCCAGGGGGTCCTGCTGCCTCCCCTCCTCCCCTCTCGACACCCTCCCGCTCATCCTTCTCCCCCAGTTCCCTCCCTCCGCTCCGTTCCCAGCTCCCCCGGTGGGACTGGGCTCCCCCTGCCCGTACTGGTCGGACTGGGCTCTGCTCCCTCCCTCCCCCCCCGCCCTGGCACGGCTCCGATCCCGGCGCTAATCCCCGGGAAGGGGAGGCTGCGCTCCGGAACGTCTCAATGCGGGCGGTGACTCACGCGGGCCCTCGGGGCCGAGGAAGCGCTTGTTAAAGGAGGCGCAGAAACATCCACTCATCGCCCGCTCCATAAAGCTGTCACGGCACTGCCCTGCTCCCCACGGCCGGGATGGCACTGCCCTGCTGTCCTGGCACTGCCCTGCTCCCCACGGCTGGGATGGCACTGCCCTGCTGTCCTGGCACTGCCCTGCTCCCCATGGCTGGGATGGCACTGCCCTGCTCCCCACGGCTTGCCACAGAGCTGTCACGGCACTGCCTCACTCCCCAAAGCTGGGATGGCACTGCCCTGCTCCCCCATCCTGCTCCATAAAGCTGTCATGGCACTGCCCTGCTCCCCACAGCTGGGATGGCACTACCCTACTCCCCCAGCACTGCTCCCCAAAGCTGTAATGGCACTGCCCTGCTGGGATGGCACTGCTCTGCTTCCCAAACCTGGCCACAGAGCTGTCACGGCACTGCCCTGCTCCCCCGAGCTGGGATGGCACTGCCCTGCTGTCCTGGCACTGCCCTGCTCCCCAAACCCGGCCATAGAACTGGGATGGCACTGCCCTGCTTCCCCATCTTGCTCCATAAAGCTGGGATGGCACTGCCCTGCTCCCCAAACCTGGCCATAGAGCTGTCACGGCACTGCCCTGCTCCCCACAGCTGGGATGGCACTGCCCTGCTGGGATGGCACTGCCCTGCTCCCCGAACCACCCTCCCCATGGACTGGGCTCCTCTCTCAGGGCTGGAGGAGCTTTCCTGGGAATGGAGGAGCTTTCTCAGAGTTGGAGAAGCTTTCTCAGGGCTGGAAGAGCTTTCCCAAAACTGGAGGAGCTTTCCCAGGTCTGGAGGAGCTCCCACATCTGGAGGAGTTTTCCTATGGCTGGAAGAGCTTTCTTGGGGCTGGAGGAGCTTTCCTGTAGCTGGAGAAACTTTCCTGGGGATAGAGGAGCTTTCCCAGAGCTGCAGGAGCTTTCCCAGAGCTGGAGGAGCTCCCAAAGCCAGAGGAGCTTTCCCAGAGCTGGAGGAGCTTTCCCAGAGCTGGAGGAGCTCCCAAAGCCAGAGGAGCTATCCCGGAGCCAGAAGAACTCCTGGCACCCTCAACTCACCCGGGGCCCTCGACCCACCAAGGGAAAACCAACCCCCCGGAGCCGTCCAGGGGCCGCCGAGGGCTCGGGAGGGAGGAGAAGGCAGGAGGAAAGGAGGGAGGGCGGAAGGAGGAGGATGAGGGAGCACGGGCGCGGCACTCACGGCGTTTGACGGCCAGGTTTTGCGCGGGTGTTGGCCGGGGTGACGCCGTAGAGGATGCCGGCGCCGGCGATGGCCCCGACCAGCTGGGCCAGCACGTAGAGGAGGGCGCGCGGGAGGGAGATCTGGTTGCCCACGAGGAAGGCGATGGTGACGGCCGGGTTGATGTGGGCGCCGCTGATGTGGCCGAAGGCCTGCACCAGGGAGCCGATGGCGAGGCCGAAGGCCAGCGCGATCTGCAGGATGGAGGGCAGCGCCGAGGGCCACTTGAGCGCCGAGCCCAGCCCGATGAAGACGAAGATGAGCGTGGAGAGGAACTCCACGAAGACGGCGCGGGCGAAGGCCAGGGTGAGGACCTCCTTCCTCATGGTGGGCGCGCAGCGGGCTCGGGGTTGCTGCGGCTCCGGGCTCCGTCTCCACCGCCGGGAGCGGGGCCATACCTTTCTATATATGCAAGGGCGGCAGGAGCCGGGTTACAGGGCGGGGGGCGGAGCCGGGCAATCGGCCGGTCCTCCCAAATTAGCAGGTGAAACTGGAAAAGTTTCCACCTGAGAACGTCCTCGGAGCCTCTCGGTGAACCGGTGACTCAGCTGCTGGTGGCATTTCTCTCCCTTGCCCTCTGCAAACAAAGAGCCCCTATAGGGTGTCCGTGGTCGTTAGATAACGAGGCTGTTGCATAACGAGGCCGAGCTGCCTCCTCTGCTGTTCCCTTTTACTGCCTCTCGACAGGTTTTGGGTGGTTCATTAGCAGAGGTGTAGCTCGGATTCCCTCCCTCCCTCCGTGTGCTTGCAGGCCGGAGAGGGCAGGATTCCTGGTGGAAAACACTTGTTGTTGGGCTGCAGGAGCTTTCCTGAGCCTGCAGGAGAGTTCCCAGGGCTACAGGAGCTTTCCTGAGCCTGCAGGAGAGTTCCCAGGGCTGCAGGAGCTTTCCTGGGGCTGGAGGAGAGTTCTCAGGGCAGGAGGAGCTTTTCCAGGACTGGAGGAGAGTTCCCAGGGCTGCAGGAGCTTTCCTGAGCCTGCAGGAGAGTTCCCAGGGCTGGAGGAGCTTTCCCAGGGCTGGAGGAGAGTTCCCAGGGCTGGAGGAGAGTTCCCAGGGCTGGAGGAGTTTTTCCAGGGCTGGAGGAGAGTTCCCAGGGCAGGAGGAGCTTTCCCGGGGCTGGAGGAGAGTTCCCAGGGCTGGATGAGCTTTCCTGGGGCTGGAGGAGAGTTCCCAGGGCTGGAGGAGCTTTCCCAGGGCTGGAGGAG